GCTTGGGGATTATTGCACGGTCTACTATTTACTGCAGTTAACGAGCACATGGTTGCAATAGGCCTAACACAAGGTTTGGCATTGGACATATTTGATTTTTGTAATAAATCAGCAATATACTTGCATTGGGTGAGATAAAGACCCTTCGTAGTCCGTGAAGCTTCTACCTCGAGGAAATAACTCAAATCTCCTAACTCATTTAATGCAAAATCAACACACAAGGACAAAATAAAGTGCTGAATGATCTTTAAATTAGAGCCTGTCACGAGGATGTCATTAAGATAAATTAAAACTAGAATAATATGATGCTTGCTAAGCTAGGTAAAGAGGGACGTATCAGAGTCGTTGTATTGAAAACCAAGGAGTTTCAAAGCATCCGTAAGTCTAGAAAACCAAGATCTTGGAGCTTAACGCAATCCATAAAGAGATCTCCGTAGTTTACACAGATGTGTAGGAAAGTTAGGATGTTGATACCCTTAAGGTTGTGTCATATATACATCCTCTTCAAGAAACCCTTGCAAAAATGTATTTTGAATCTCCAATTGTTTGATATGCCAGTTTTAAGACATGGCAAGAGAAAGAATAATTCTGACTGTGGTATGTTTAATGGCAGGGTTAAAAGTTTCATTATAGTCAAGTCTATCAAGTTGTTGAAATTCTTTGGCAACAAGTCGAGCTTTGTAACACTCTATATATGGTGCCATCAACTTGTCTTTTGACTCTTTATATCCAACTATTTTCGACTACATTAGCTGAAGGTGGTGGTTTGACAAGTGTCCAAGTGTCATTCCTTAGGTGTGCATCAAATTCTACGTCCATATCAGTACGCCAATGAGCATACATAAATGCTTCTGTCTAACAAGTTGGCTCAATGGAGTCGTCAGAAAAGATGTAACTAGTGCTTTTGGAAAATGGTACTATACAAACTCATCTGAAGGCTATTTCTTCTCATGAATGTTGCTCTTGGATCGAGTTGTCATGTGATAAGTGTTACTAGGATTTTGGACAGCCACTTCTCCAAAATGGTAGGTGATGGAGCAAGAGT